ACATAACGCTCCGTCCAGTCCGCAATGTCCCAAGACGATGACTTTAAAAAACTATCCATTAAGTGCTACACAAATGAAATTACTCTTGCCTCTCATTTACAGTAAACTGATATGAATATCAGTTAAAATAACTAAAGTATCATTAACAGGACTGATGAGAACTAGATACTGGAAATTATATTACGTCAGTATATATGAAAAGAAGTAAGGCACCTATAATAATTTATATAACCTACACGATGTCCTATCAGTGTGAAGTTATGGCACGAACATGTAAATGTGTGTGTGTGTGTGTGTGTGTGTGTGTGTGTGTGTATATATATATATATATATATATATATATATATATATATATATATATATATATATATATATATATATATATATATATATATATATATATATATATATATATATATATATACAGTATTACCCCGCTTAACGCGCTTTCGCTTAACGCGCTTTCACTTAACGCGTTTTCGCATATACGCGGTGCCTTGCCAAAGCTGAACTTTCACTTAACGCGGATTTTTCCACAGCAACGCGGTGAGTGTCCGGCTCGAGAGCTATTTTTAGATTCGCACCACCCCCCACCCGCCACCCTGCCTGACTGCCTGTTTTAGCTCATAAAATTCATACAAATTACCCAGCCAGAATATAGTTTACATTGCTGGAATTCTTATAATTTGGTGATCATTTTGAATATAAACAACATATTTTTTGCATTAAACATACAATTTTTAGATAAAATGTTTAATCTGAGTAAGTATGTTATCTTTTGTCCAAAATATATGACATTTATATTCAAAATATTCCTGGTCTTACAAGGAATCCAGCAATGTCAATTATATTATCCTAACTTTAGTTTGAGGTATTATTTATTAAAATTTAGTGGTTATCCCACACATCTCCTTGGGACGGTTGGTGGGGGGTGGGGGGGAGGGAGGGACCAACCGACCGACCATCTGTTACCCAGTGAAGAATTATTTTTTTTTAACTGAAGATATTTGTTTTAGCTCATAAAATTCATACAAATTACCCGGTCAGAATATAATTTACATTGCTGGAATTCTTATAATTTGGTGATCATTTTGAATATAAACAACATATTTTTTGCATTAAACATACAATTTTTAGATAAAATGTTTAATCTGAGTAAGTATGTTATCTTTTGTCCAAAATATATGACATTTATATTCAAAATATTCCTGGTCTTACAAGGAATCCAGCAATGTCAATTATATTATCCTAACTTTAATCTGAGGTATTATTTAATACTAAATGTTAAAAACTCTTGAATGGAGGATTGGTGGGGGGTGGGGGGAGGGTTGGGACTGACCGCGCGGTTGGAAGAGGGGGGGAGGCAAGGTGGGGTACTTTGATTGACAGATAGTGTCGAAGAATATATTTTTTTTTTATTAACTGTAGATATTTGTTTTAGCTCATAAAATTCATACAAATTATCCGGCCAGAAAATAATTTACATTGCTGGAATTCTTATAATTTGGTGATCATTTTGAATATAAACAACATATTTTTTGCATTAAACATACAATTTTTAGATAAAATGTTTAATCTGAGTAAGTATGTTATCTTTTGTGAAAAATATATGACATTTATATTCAAAATATTCCTGGTCTTACAAGGAATCCAGCAATGTCAATTATATTTTCCTAACTTTAGTTTGAGGTTATCCCACACATCTCCTTGGGACGGTTGGTGGGGGGTGGGCGGGGGGAGGGAGGGACCGACCGACCATCTGTTAGCTGGCTGTGTACTGTAGTGTGAGAGGGGGAGGGAGTTGAGTCCATTATTTGAATGGACATTAACTTGGCGACTGTATTTCTCTTAAGTATTAATTGTGTGCATGTACCATCATAAAATTAAGATGTTATTTTTACTACAACATAGTTATTTGTCGTCAAAAAGTGGAGTTTGGGGGTCGGGCTGGGTTCTATTGGAATTAATCCCATATGTTCTGTTATTCACTTAACGTGGTTTTCACTTAACGCGGACCCTCTGGGTTCAATTGACCGCGTTAAGTGGGGTACCACTGTATATATATATATATATATATATATATATATATATATATATATATATATATATATATATATATATATATATATATATATATATATATATATATATATTTATTACGGAGTTGGTGGGCGTCTTCAATAGAAAACGATCTCTCTGCTCTCTGACGCTCCTCGCACTGCCCAGCTGATCTCAGGTAGGGGTGGGGTGTGGTGGGGGATTTGCCTCAGGCTGCCCTCCCAAGGTCGGCCGGTGCGCGTTCCTCCGCTTCCTCGGTTGCGGTTACCAAAAGACGCTTCAAGATGACGACGGACGAGTTCACTTCACGTCGGGGAGTCCACTTCATGACGGGGACTCCACTATCCACCAAAATTGCTGATTGCCGGCGTCGAAGTCCCTGGATACCTGCTCACTGATCAGATGTCGCCCCTTCTGTGTGCCAAACCTTCTGAAGCCCTGTATATATTGGACTCGCTGAGGGCACCGGTGATTGTACAATCTCAGTCACAATAGCCAAAACAGTCTTCTTAAACAATTGTGGAAGGTCCTGTGTTGCCAAACCTCGTAGGTATGTGACAACATTGTAAGCGCCGGTACACAGGGTGCCCAATGCTGAACATGCAAATCCTGACCGCCACTTCTCGTTGCCAGAGAGGGGTATTACCAACCTCCCGTAAGATATAAAGTCAACAATAACTCAGAATCCGTTATTGGAAATAATTCTGCACACCTCTTTGGATGACAGAATGAAGGTCACTCAACTTATAACGTCTCACTACGGGATATATCACTACACTTGGATATTTCATGTAATACGTCACTTTTTTGTTTTTCTTGTTTCGTAAAACACCAATGACTTGTTATGTCTGTACTGATTTAGCCTAAATTCGAAACCGCTCACTGCCACCTTAATGTTCTAGGCCATTTAACTGCTCAGTCTGTCTTGGTCAACGAGGCCTGAACATTTATATTATAGAGGGTTTTTGGTAACGAAACCCAATTGTCTGTTATCCTTTTATTTAGGAACTATTGAGGATACAGTTCCAAAGTGTAGATCACCGTAACTTATCACTGTGACTATGAGTGTTAAGAGAAGGACGGAGGCTCTTTAAAATACGTCCGATCTGTGTAAGGCGTTGAGTAGCAATGCCCCAGAGCGCCGGCCTTAAAAAATGCTGAACTAAACAGTCACTGGGCCGCACCTCAAGGAGCCTGCCAATCACGTGATATGATCGTGTCACCTCATAGCCAGTGGAAAGTTACAGGGGGTGATAGAGTATATAAATCAAGTGTAATTAACCCATTTATATAATGTTTCTGCCTATGAGACAGGGTCTATTAAACCCTCATGTAAGCTCTTCATGTTATAATGATTATCGAAAGTCAAGGTTTTGTTGGAAACGTCACATATAGCTCATATCTTTGTTCAAACCCACACATACATAATATATTGTACTGTAACTTTTGTTCACCCTGGGTTACAGTGCATGCAGGAGAAAGATCACCCTGGCCACTAATATTGTTTGCAGAAGCCAGTCGTGTCTTGACCAGTATTACACACTTCCAGAGCTTCACTTCATCCCCCCAACTGCAAGAGTACAGTATTAGTCGTCAACTGCAGCAATTTATCTTTTAATATTTTTCATTTCATCAATGAAATATTTCTTGGTGTATTTCATTAGGTTGAAGATGATTTTGTATCATCAATTTTTATATTAACTTGTGATGCTCATACAGGTGCAATCTATATATGTACACTTTTTTAAAAGAAAATGTTGCTTCAGATTCATCATACAGTACTGTACAGTACTGTACTGTACTGTACTGTACTGTACTGTACTGTACTGTACTGTATAATTCTTTCTAAAGTGTTGTAAATTTTTTTCTTAATCACATAGTTTTCTTGTCGTTGTGAATTATTTTTTTTTTCAAATCATCAGATTCATGTTTTAAGGTACACCATTGGACCTTTCTCAGTTATTATTCAAGTTTGTTTTGCTATAATTTTTTTTTCTTCATTTTTTTTAGAATGTGCCATTACAAAATTTGAAAGAGCCATCTTAGTAAATGCTGGATAAGAGATATCAGAGAACAAATTTCTTTAATGGTTGCCAGATTTTGGTAACATGTACAGTACTCCAGTGATGGCAGTGACAAATGAGTTGCATTTTGTAATGCTAAAGTTGGTAATCTGGTACATAGTTTATGAAGTTAATTGATGTGTTTTATCAGTACTAAATTAATTACAGGTTAAGCTTTGAGGTATTGTGGCTGCAAAATTGTCTTTATTATAATTCTGAGATTTCATAAACTTGTTTCATTTGTTAATGATGATTAACATGATTTTGGAATTCTACTAATGTAACTAGATTTTTTTTATGCACTTAACGTGCATTAATTAAATTTCAATGTTTATTGAATAAATCTCCTATCCTCTCCACTTGTCAGCTTGCTACTACAGAACTACAGTATAGCTAGTTTGGTTAGTACAGCACTGTACTGTCCAGTAGAGTATTTTTATGAAAGCGAATACATTATATTGAAAAATAATTCTTAATTTATATTCTACTTTGCTTTTAGTTTATCAATCCTACAAACTGTACATTGGTGTTGTTGTGCCTAGAGATGCTCATTGTACAGCAGCAACTTGCTTGCATCTCATAGCTGTGTTCTAGGTTCAATCCCCAGCCAGGGTCAGATGTGACCTTGACCTTACCAAACATGGCAGGTTTTCTCTTGGTGCTCCAGTTTCCTCCTGTACTAACACTGGACAGTGAAGGTCATAACAAAGTACAGTATCAAAGAACAGACGGACCACCTTAATGGCTAGAAGCTGGTAAGTTAAAGAAATGATAAATTAAAAATACTGTATCATTATCACATTAGATTCATCATAATACAGAACTGTACTTCACTTGTAGTTTTCACTGTTGTACTGATTAGAACACCTATTTTCACAGACAATCACTTGTGACTGCGATGCGACGATATACCTGCGGATAATGACAACAAGAACCCAAGGAGAGACAACGACCGAGAGCGAGTATGCTTGTGCTGTTAGTACACTCAGAGGGAGACTCAATATTGCCTCCATCACCTCAGAATTGATGGCTGTGGTCAAGTTTGATGGCTGGCCTGAGGTAGGAGTTGGTGCAAGTCTTGTAGCAAGAGCTAGCCAGGGAACTGGCTGGGTTGGTGTAGTGTAGAACAGCACTAGAAATTTTTCAAATGAAATTAATTTAAATATTGAATAATAAATATATATCCCGATTATCCCAGTGATGTTTTAAATTTTTTATTGCATTCTTTTTCAGACTCAAAGATACAAGAAACAGAATTTTCTTTTTTTCTAAATACCTGCACTCTTATTTTCATTCATACTCTTAATGCAGACTCTCGATCCACACTTCTTTCTTTTTCTGAAAGGAAACATTTCTATCTCCGCCATACATCTTCCCTAAAAGCTAAAAGATTTTCTACTTGACACTCTAGTTTTCTTTGCTCTTGTATCTTTTTGTTGACAAAAACTACAGACGGTAAGGTACCAGCCCTAAGCCCCCAGGTCTAATTGCACCAGGGCAGGCGATGGGACACTACATCCCTTCACTTTAGCCTAATACAATATAGATCATTGTAGGTAAGAACTATTTTGCTACTGAAGTGTGGTATGTACAGTCAGCCAAAGATGCACCGACCCCACCCTGGATCTCGTGCTCGCAATTTTACCTGGCAATACTTGGTAAAGTAAGGCTGTATGTAAAGGTGATTGTGATTGGTGGATCTATTTTTGGCTGTATATTTGTCAGGATAAATATTAAACAATCCAAAGGTAGAATTATTATAATAATAAACTATTCAGTGTTATTTAAGGTCATGAGAAGTTTCCAAATGTTCTTATATTTGTTTAAATAATGAAGAAATTATAGTTATGACATGGCAACTCAACTACAACGTGGAACGAGGACTGCCGCAAGATTCTCAGATCAAATTTTCTTCATTATTTAAGCAAATATAAGAACATTTGGAAACTTCTCATGACCTTAAATAACACTGAATAGTTTATTATTATAATAATTCTACCTTTGGATTGTTTAATATTTATCCTGACAAATATACAGCCAAAAATAGATCCACCAATCACAATCACCTTTACATACAGCCTTACTTTACCAAGTATTGCCAGGTAAAATTGCGAGCACGAGATCCAGGGTGGGGTCGGTGCATCTTTGGCTGACTGTACATGTAGGGGTATATAGGTAGGTAAATACACTGTACTAGAAAGATCAAGCTTAAAAAAGAGTTTCAGTATTACATACAGTATATAAAAAAGTGGAAGACTATGAGAAATTTGATGTAAATGGTTGTAATTGAATATTGAAGTTAATGATTCATTCATCAGAAACTTGTAAGTAGTACTGTACTACCTTTGTTAGATGTATATTTGACTTGGTTTTTTAAAATTTATAATTCAGCTTTTAAAGGTACAGTAACCAGTAGTGTGCATAAAATCAGCACTTGTTTATTTTACAGGTACTGTATATTAAAAGAATTCTTATGCTAACTTAAGGTTCTTCTCACAGGTTGCTTTAGAGCTGGAAGGAATTCGAAATAACTCCACTGGGTTGAATGAACAACAGATGCTGGATGTAGTTGATGAAGTCCTTACCTCAGCCCTTCGAAACTCTGTCCTGGATGTCAACTTCCAATCCAGCAAGACCTTCCCCAAATTTCGAAGAGCACGACAGGTTCCTGACCCCATCATCCCAGTTGGCTACGATTCTATGGTACGTGAGTCGCAAACACATCCACCCTCAGCTCCTCGTAAGCCAAAGAAATCACTCTTTGCTTCAATTCATGATGAAGAAATTGAGGAGGCAGGAGAATCATTCACAGCCCTCACTTTTTCCTCCAACCTTTCCAAGCAAATTAATCTCACTACCAGTGAAGAACAGCTTATTGCTAGGAACCTGCATAAATATCCCTCATTAGAAAATACAGAAATAGGTGGAGATGATATTAGTGAAATTTGTAAATCTTGGGAAGAAAACTATGTGCCGGCTGCCGAGGTACCCAGTGAAGATCATGAGACTGTGGTAGTCCCAGTTACTGTTCCCCGGGCTGACCAAAAGGAAAAATCACAAACTCAAAATTTTGTTCTTGTGGCTAGTAATAGGTCAAAGCTTATTGATGAGCCAAGAACTGTAGTTTCCATTGAAGAAATAGAAGAAGAAGAACCTGAACTTGAGCTTCATCCAGTCCGAAAACCACATGTTGAGGATGAACCTTGTATCAGAAGAGGAAGTAGAAGCCCTCTACTTCTTGGTCATCCTAAGATAGAAGAGCCACAAGAATCAGTAGAACTAAAGGAACTTGAGGAACTACTGCAGTTAGATAAAATAGATATCTCTGACAAGTCACTAACCAGCACTTCTGGATTTGGACCTCTGCCTTCCCTGCCTGGCCTACAAAAAGGACCTTTCGTAAGTGAAGCATGCTGTGTGGGAGTGAAGGTTGGTGTTGCTGCTGAAAATCCTGAGCTTGACCTTAGAGTTGAGACTGCACCAGTTGATGACAGTGTGGCTTGTGACCTCTCTGAGTGTGACCAGGAGGTTGTGATACCTGTTGAACCCCTCTTGCAAACCCAAGTCCATAACCATTCAGCCATTGATGACCTTAGTCTGTATTCAGTCACTGATACTGCTAATATTTCCATTGGCTCCCAGAGAGAACCTATTCCCCTCCCAAATGCTGTTCCTTCTTTAGAGCCTGAAACATCCTCTGCTTCTGCTTTGTCTGCTGTGGTGGGAAACAGAAGTGAGGATTGTAACCTAGATTCCTCATTTTTGTCAATTAGTGATGAAAAACTTAGTCTTGATTCAGGATATTTTCAAGATACAAGTTTTTGTAAAGATTCACCTGTAACTCATGTCTGTGCAGCAGTTACCCATGAAGGCACTAATGATGCAGATACTGATACAGGAAATGAAGCATGTGATAGGGAGAGCTTTGACAGATACCCAGTAAACCAAGTCCAACTATATCAAGACAAAGACTTAAAGCTATCAGAACAACCATTAATTTGTCACCTAGATAAGTTTCTAGAAAATGAAGTAGAAATTATAGATGAATGTAGGAATGAAAGTGCTGATAAGAATGAAGTATGTAAGGCTGTAAATACAGACACCTTCAAAGATGAATTAGGCTATAAAAAAATGTGTTTCAATGAGTTTACTGAAAGTCTTTTCAGACATATAGAATTAGAGGAATTGGAGATTTCTATACCTGAAGAAGTTACAGAAGATCCAGCATTGGAGATGGCCGAGATATATGAGACCAATGATAAGAGCTTAATAGTCTCGGAGACCTCAGATTGGGAAAGTGGAGAAATTGAAGAAGAAACTGACAATGAAATTGAAAACCTGGAAACCACGTTAGATTCTCATGAAGACACAGCAGATGATGTAGAGTCAGATGATTCATTAAGTACAGATGTTAGTCAGCATCAAAACTTCGAGCCTAAAAAACTTTATCTAGAAACAGACTTTGGTGTTTTTAATGCTGACACTAATACAAGGATTCTATCCACAAATTGTGGTGTTGATGAAATTATTGCTTCAAGACATCACAATGAACTATACAAAGATTCTGACACTCCTAGTGAGGAAGAAGTAGCAAGACAGTATGGCTATACAGAACTTAAAGAGAGCAGTTTTGAAGAAAGTAATGGATCATTTACAGACAACTGTGATGACTCCTTGCAAGAAAAGGATGATTTGTCAAGAGTAACTGATAATAGAACACCAGAAAGTCCTTTCATAATGGAAGAAACTACAAACACTTCTAATGTTGATAAAAGACTTGATGAGAAAAATGTAACAGATGAAATTTACATAATGAAAATTGAAGATAATGCAGTTGTGAAAGAAACGAATGATCTTGAATTTCATGAACAACTCACACAAGAACAAGGTGTGAATTCAAATACAGTAGCGGAAGTGGCTCCATATATGAAACTGCAGGAGGACTTGCACAGTATTGTTAGTTTCTGCCAAACTCCTTCATCCAGTCTTCAAACAATAGACTCAAATTTAACAGCAAATGACTCTCAAAAAATTATGGATAATAAATTGAATCTTACAGACAAGAAACTGGAAGAGGGGGAATATGATAAAAACCTTGATATAAAAATTAATCCTACAACTGAAGTTAATGCTCAGGATCCTTTTTCTCCTGCAGAGGATGACTTTATATTTCATAATGATGAAGATATTACAAATGGCACTCAAGATGAGTCTAGATGTGACTATGACTATGCCTTGTTAGAAAGCTCTTCCTCTGACTCAGAGGTGGAAGGGATAACTGGTAAATATTCGGGAAAAGAGTTAAATGATTCGCTTCAAGGAAGGTCACTATCTGGGAAAAACTGGAGGAACAGTGATATTGAATTAATTATGGAAGCAGAGTCTTTTGTTATACCAAATGATCATGTTAGTACTACTTTAGGTTGTGAAGTGAAGGATGTGCAAGAATTACCTGAAGATGATTCTTTGGGTAAAAATCTGAAGGATGCGCATGGATTATCCCAGGATAATGTTTTGAATACTAGCCAAAAGGATGCACAAATAGTACCCCAAATTAGTCTTTTGAATCACAATTTGAAAGACACACAAGATTCACTTCAAGAAGCCCCAGGGATTGAAGTGCAGAGTAACATTTTAACATTTTCAGAAGGATCAATGCTAACCACCAAAACAGGCAGTGTGGCTCCATTAACACAACCTGACACTACTTGTGCACTAACATTGCAACAGGGAACATCTCACACAAGGAAAGAGTATACTACTGGGGATGATTTCATGAAAGACGCCAGTTTCACCTCAGGCCAGCACCATTGGACCCGGCCTCTGCCAACCCACCCAGTTTATGGCACAAGCTATGTGGTAAGACCCACACATTTTTACCTTGGTGGATCTTGTGCCGGGAAGTGCTACTCCACTAATCTAACAAACATCACTCATCCATGTGGGGTTTATGTTGGGGCTTGGCAAATACTGTACTAGGTCTGAATATGTGTTACTGGGCAGGTACAAACCCTAGGTGTGATTTGTTGTATATATGATTGTTTTTGCCATGTCCTCTTTTCTTGTGGTGTCATTCATTAAGCATGGATTATTAACACTATTCTAATGCTGTGAACACTGAATTTTTTAATATCAAATAATGCATATTTATTTCTGGTATATGAAGTACACCATAAAGTCAGTTTTCTCATTGGATTGGTTGTGGAGAACTGTTATACTGTACTAGATTAGTGTTTCCTCTTGTTTTATTTACTTGTGGTTCAAGGACATAGAAATGTTTCATGGGGAGCAGCAGACCCCACTCTTTTATGAATCCAAATGGATCACTATTAACAGCAACCAGTTTGGTTCCATTTATTGAGCACTTTCTCTGTCTCTCTTGTCATTTTGACTTAAACTTTGGCATTTGTGGAATTAAGGAATTATTTTTTAAGTACTTTATTATATTCATCATATTCTAATTAACTAAAAACTATATTCACTTATATATTGGAGCTACTATAAAACTTTTTGGCCAGAGTGTTTTATGGCTTTATTAGAATGAAAGTAGAAAAGTGACATACTTTAATCCAGAATATATTTACTCAAGTCATTACTGCTCATGTTTTCTCGATGCCACCATATAATGTTTCCACTGGCTGTTTTTATACTACCTTGTGTTGTCATTACATTACCTGTTGTGTGTGTCTTACTATCAATTGTTTCTGTTACAACACTTGGTGTAGTATACAGAAAGTAACCTCCACTCACTCTTGTGTCTTTTATCCAGTTTCTATTTCATCTGCAATAAATTTGTGTGTTGTACAGGAAATAGCATTCCAGGATTGGATTTATTCATTACAAAGTTAATCACTTCTCTTAGATTGCCCCAGACAATAAATGTAAAAAAAATTATAGTATCTGATGATGATGATGATCCATCTGTACATGTGTATGCTTAACATGCACTTGTGTATTAATGTTGTATCATCCACTGTTCAGATGGTTAGGAGTGGCAAATTTACTTCTTTCTTGACCCAGATGACTGCATCCAGAGGTGCAAGGTCATGGCATCTGTATGTTTCTGGCTTATATAAGTTTGAGGGTGGTTGCCAAATGAAATGCATTTAATTTGTTAGTGTATACTTAAATTTCAGGTTAGTGGCACTATGGTGTACTTCATTAGATTTTGACAACACATCTGTCATGGGAAATGAGAGCCTATGCAGAAACCTTTGTTAAAAAAGTGTATTGCAGAATTTAATCAGAATATAGTTTCAGTAGTACAGTACTGTACTGTGGTTTAATGTTCATACCTTGAGTAATAACCACCTTTTAATAAAGAAAAATTAAATTAAAGACATTTATGGTAAGTGGACATTGGTTCAGTATGTTTGAGAATCCTGTGCCAGCTGCATGGTACGCTCAACTAATCTGCATGAACGAAAAACACACTGGTAACAAAGGGTCTTCTTTCATCGCTAATTCGAGTTACAAAGTTGGGCAGAAATAATCTTAACATGTTCATGCTGTGAGGATGTGTCGGAGCTAACCATGCATGGTGGTAAATGTATCATCTTTGTCCTGGGTTTTATAATGTATATACTGTAATTGTGTTTGTGTACAGGTATATTAACATAAGGGAATATTGTAAATTTGTATGGAAGGTTTTTATAGGCTGTAAAGATGACATAAGATATACAAGTTTATTATACAAGTTATCCGGATATCGACAGATTAGTTTCCTATAAAACTTGCCATAATGAAACTACACAGCATTTAAAATAAAAATCCAAATCCATAGTGCTAAGTAATATGTGATATATGTTGTACTATACTCTGGATTCTCTCTGAAGATGTAAATAGATTTTCCAAATTAAATTTGGTAAGATGAGCAGTTCTTTACCTGACTTTTGACTGAGTACTTGTGTGTTGTCTAACCTATCAGATGTTAGCTGTTATGTTATTTCAATTTATCTCTTGCCATTGGTCAGGGGATGAATTATCATCTGATCAAAGACTTAGTCTGAACATTCCAAGACTTCTTCTTGCTTATCTTGTTTTGTGATAATTGAACAAATTTCTCATTTTCCAGGCTTTTACTTAAATTTCTCATGTGGAAATGTACAGTATTTTGTTTACTTCTTTTATCTGGCATATGTCTATCCTGTGGTGAAATAAATATACAGTATGTTGATTTTATAAAGAATGAAGAAAATTTTCATCTCAAGATAATCATATAAATACTGTACAGTATATTTTATACAATGATTTAATATAAGAGGTTAATGTTTATTCTGCTAGTGTTGACATTAGAACTGTATGATACAGTACTGTAGTTATGTTAATTGTAGTTCATATTTTGGCAAATTTATGTGTTTCAGGTATCAGCCCTTCCATCTACGACTACGGGTCAATCCATGGGAATTCCTGGTCTTAATGGCAAGCGGCTTCTGGTGAAGATTGTTAAAGCAACAAGTGTTGGCTGTGATAAGTGTAAGTAAACTTTCTTTGTATCTGGATAATCTATTCAGTTTCAAACATTGTAGGTAAGTTGATGAAAATAGTACTGTACTGTACTGTTAATAATATTTCTTAAGACATAAAAGGGTTTATGCTTGAATTTTTAGCCTACATGTCTTTTTCTCAAGTGACTTGTGAGATACTATCCACTCAAAACTTCCCTGGCAGAGCCTCTGCCTTGGTCAGAGGGTAAGGCTATAAGGGAGTGTCGTGGTGACACAGTTATCTACATTTTGAGGCAAGGAAAACTGTCCGGTGCACACTAACAAATAGTTGCCTTACAAGACAGCCACTTACTGGTTAATCACCAGTTAGGAAGGTTGCTCGACCCTGCCGTTTTGAGAAGGATATTATAGAAAATATTCCAAATTTGTTTTTAATGACATTGAAAAAATTGTTCCTCCTTTCAAATACTGTATAGCATAGGAAAAACATATCAACACAGTCCATGAGCAATAATATCCTTGAAACATATATGATGTTAACAGTCACTGAAAATGGGGTTTAAGTAGAATTTCTCTTGCATTTTGCACAAAATTCAGAAATTTTCTTCTTTGCCATAGATCAGTGGTTCCCAACCTTTTTGTACTCGCGACCCCTTTCTCAAAACCCTGAAACGCATGCGACCCCCCTGCCATTAGCCATTTCAGTTTTATAAATTTTTCTGAGAAGGAAAGGGGAAGAAAGAGAAAACAATCATTAATTCATCAATTACTTGTATTACTTTTTTTTTATTAACATAAACATAAATAACATCATCTCTCCAAACTAGCTAGTGGGATGGGTGGGGTTGCATCTGAGCAGCGAGTCTTGGAATTCGTGGCGGGGTGTTTGTAGGAGCCATTCTCATGTCATCCTCGACATCCAATCTGTTCCTGGTCTTCGATTTGATGTGGACGAGGGTTAAAAATCTGGCCTCGCAGAGGTATGTGTAGGCAAATGGAAGAAGAACACGTAAGGCCAGCATGCTGACTTTGGAATATGATTGATGCATAGCTCACCAGAATTGAGTCATCGATTTCTCCTGGAACAGGTCACGCGCCGGAGAGTCGTTCCGTAGATCCAAGAATTCATCTTGGACTTCGTCGGGGATGCTGGATACGTCAAGTGTAGCAGAGAAAGGGTTTCTTACCAGTGCCTCCTCTTCTCCTGTGAGCTCAGGGAAGTATCGCTGGAATTCCTTTTCTAGGGACTCAAGGTGTCCGGCAATCTCCTCCTTCAGGAACTGATCTAGTTCGCCCTCAGACTCATACATCACTCCGCAGAGTTTCTCAAACATGTCAATGTTCCCAAAATTGACTTTCCGACGCCAGTTCTGCAGTTTGGATATGAAGACCCGTAGATTGTCTTGAAATCGGAGAACGTGTGTTTCCCTTCCCTGAAGTTTCAAATTCAGCTTGCTCAGCTGGTCGAAAATGTCTGCCAGATACGCAACCCTTTTATTCCACGTTTCATCATCGAAGTGCGCCAGATCTCTCTTTTCTTGCACTTCCAGAAAGAACCTGATTTCGTCTTTCATCTCGAAGACACAATTCACAATGTTCCCTTTCGTAAACCAATGTACAGCCGTGTAGAAGAGAAGGACCTCATGGTCAGCACTCATGTCTTTGCAGAGTTCTTTGAATAGACGAGTGTTGAGTGCTCCAGCCTTCACGTAATTCACAATTTTGATCACAGAATTGAGCACTTCCCGCAGAGAAGCAGGAAGGGTCTTACTAGCGAGAGCATACCGGTGGATCATGCAGTGGATGCCCTTAGCTTGGGGAGCCAGCTTCTTCACTCTTGTCTGGAATCCTGACTTAGATCCTAGCATAGCTGGTGCTCCGTCTGTACAAACCCCGCACACGTTTCCCCACTGCAAATCTTCGGTATGAGAAAAGGTAGAGACCTTTTCCATGACATCATCAGCTGTTGTAGTGGTTTCAAGTGTGTTACAGAACAGGAATTCTTCTTTGATGACCTATGAATGAATGTACCTCACGAAGACAAGCAACTGAGAACATGAACTCACATCTGTTGATTCGTTGAGTTGAAAGAAGAACAACGGAGAAGCTTTGATTTCATCCAAAACCTGCTGTTTCACATCCATAGACATATGAGAAATATGCCTCTGAAGAGTATTATTCGACAGAGATATTTGCTGCATCTTTTTCACACTGGCTTCCCCAAGAACGAGCTTCACCATCTTCAACATGCAGGGTTTGATAAGTGTTTCTCCAATCATGTGAGCCTTTTTTTTGTTTTTCAATTTCCAATGCAACTTCATAAGAAGCCTCCACTGCTGCTGCACTCTGTTGCTGAAATGACCCACTAGCATCGAGCTTTTGATATTTGAGACGAAGCTCATGAAGTTTGAAGAACTCCAAATCCTTCTCTGCGTGTTCCAGATGCTTCGTCTCAAGGTGACGCTTGAGTTCCGAAGGTTTCATCGACTCCGCACTCAGGACAACATCGCACAAGACACATTGTGGTTTCTCGACGCCGTTGTCGGCGAGCACTGTGGTGAAATCAATGTTGAGGTAGTCTTCCGAGTGTTTGCGCCTTTTAGCCATGGATTCAGATCTGTAAATACAAAATATAAAATTTTGAAATACTAAATATACAAGAAACATCAGCAATAAACAGAGCCGTAAAAAGTATCCAATATTGTTACTCAACTTACTAAGTTACACACACACACACACACATTCTCGTAAATCCGTAAAATATTACAATTAAGCACAACTGTGCATGATCAATTAATTTTTAACTCACCCAGTTACTCCAGCTGAGAAAAATATCAGTAGCAACGATACAGGAACTGCGTGACTAGTGACAGGCTGGTTCGATACTGACTGACTCGAGATGGGTGCCTCAACTATTTAAATACCCTGCTCCTCTCTACCAATATGCACAAATACGCATGCGCTTCTAGCGGATTTGCGGACACTTCCACAACTTGCCCGAAGCTGTCTGAAGCTTCCATACGCATCGACTCACATAGGGCAGGGGATTTCTAGAACCAACTCACACATACAAGTACCAACTAAAAAGTAGACGCGAACACTAATAGCCTAACCGTAATACATCGAAAAGAGTGAGCGAAAACTATAGCCTACTCCACCGGCACAACATTATGTTGTGTGTTCTAGGTTACTGGCGTATCAGTGAAATGAAAGTTTTGGTAATGTTCCTGCTGATGTACTAAGTTCTTCTCCCAAGGCTACCTAGTTCTCCCAAGGCTTCTCGACCCCCCAGCCAACCCTCCGCGACCCCCTTGGGGGGGGTCACGACCCATAGGTTGGGAACCCCTGCCATAGATAAATGAATAAGTTGGTGAGTGATAGTGAGTTAATGCAATAATATGTGATACTTTCAGCTGTGTGTGAAGCTTATGCTGTGGTGGAGATGGATGAACCCCCTCAGAAGTTCACCACTTCAGTAGTCAAAGACACAAGTTCTCCCTTTTGGGATGAACAGTTTCTTTTGTAAGTTAATGAGATGAAAATATTGACAAATGTATGGAGAGAGAAAACCATATGTGAGAAATATATCTTAAGTTAGCTGACTATATTTTTCTTACCAGTTTGTAAATATTTCAATAATCTACTGTATATGATTTTCATGATTTTCATTATTATTATTTTATTTTATTTATTTTTTTTTAGTGATCTTAGTGGTGGCACATTGGAACTACTCTTTGAGGTATATGATAAGAAGGATGGAAATTTCTTGGGGCTTGGAATTGTAGGAATTGAAGAATTAGTTGCCACGCCCTCCCAGAGACAAATCATCCCCCTTCAATCCCGGCCATATGAAAATGATGAAGTCTCAGGATCGTTGACAGTGGAGGTGAGATGAGCGATTTTATTAATATTACAGGATAATGAAAAAAACTCCCCATATCTTTAATTAATTAGGCTTTATGTTTTTATCATGTGCCATTTTGAAACTTCCATGCTTTATTTTCCCATCATGATTGAATTTTTATCACATTGGTCAAATTTTATGACAGTATACCTCACTAGATGCCACTACCTTTGAACTATTTTTGTGGTGATCCCTAGGAGATTCATGTACTAAACATGTTGTACAGGGACAGTATTTTGCTAACTTTATGGCATATACAGTTGACAAGAGAACTGTGAGATAAATCACTGCCAAAACATCTCTTAGTCTTAGACCAAACCTGCCATTCCCCATAAGGTGTGCTGTGCTTGAGAGTAAAGGAGAAGCCCTTTCAAAATTCAATACTGTATTCAGTATGGATTAATATACTATTGGACAGTGTATTGCTTCAAACAATGAGTACAGCACATTGTAACCTTTCCACCAGCTTGAGTCTGTAAGACTGCATGAATCTGGTGGTTATCTGAGAAACTAATGGGGCTAGTCAGGTTGGAGTCTTGTGTCTACAGACTGGTCAGTACAGTACAGTGCAGTATTGCTCAAACTCATTCTTATCTCGTAGGACAATATACTTTAGTCCTCAGTTCCCTACAGTCAATAATTTACAATTTAAGGTGTTTCAGTGGGTGTATTTAAGGGATAAATGCTTTTCTCAAACTTTTTAGTCTGTTGTCATTAGTTTGGTTACATAATAAGTTTGGTGAAACTCTACATTATATTTGATTATATTTGGCAGCCGGGCTTATTGGCTTCATCATGTCATATTCACTGCAAGTTGTCCATCTATGCTGTATTTTACCTGTACAGTATTGTGATATACTCGAAATTATATAAATAGGAGATGGAATCCCATTTATAGCATGGAATATAAGTGAGAGGCCTGAATTCCCATCAGGGAACTGATGACTGGAGTATTTTGTTCCCTTTAGCCAGAGTAGATTTTAGCATTACAAACTGGAGACTCAAGACTTTGACCTGGCTAGTCCTGCCACCCTTGAGACACCCAAAGGAGTTATTGAATTTGTTTGGACTCACTTGGGTGGAATGATGTAATGTGTTCATCACTTACAGAAATACATTTTCTATTTGGATAATATACCCAGCTGTCAATCATTGCTCTATTTGTGAACTCGACATGTGAGGTAATTGGCAGGTTTATATATCACTTCTCTTGCTCATCTTCTCAGCCATGAAATGGGATTCTGCACCTCACTTCTCCTTTTTTCTCTGCAGAGGTAACTGAACTTGATTTATACCCAGTAACCAGTTGCCTTTTTAATTCTATATCTTGCAGAATAAAATCTGATACTCAGACATGCTCTTCCATTCAGTCCCATTTTGACATGTTGGATGGTAATTGAAATGTTAGAGGACTGAGGAAAATAATGCAAGGGTAACATTTTTGGACCAGGAGCTGTTACGAATACTGTAGTATTGTACAGTGCCATGTTATGAAGTACTGTACAGTGACCCCTCGGTTAATGAACTCAATCCGTTCCAGAAGGTTGTTCGTTAACCGAAAAGTTCGTTAACCGAAACCATTGTTTCAATGGGTTTTTGGGTAATTGGTTCCAGCTCACCGAAAATTTCCTAAATTCAACAAAAATGGTAGAAAAGTTCACTTACTTTGAGGTGTGTATGTAGAAGGCTCCTGGATGATGATGATGATGATGGGATTTAGAATGGGGGTGGAGGAGAAGTAAGAAGAGAAGGCATTGGGGTGGAAGAGAAGTCACCCCATGGTGCCATTTCACCCATAAAATTTTAGCTCTCTGGTTTAATTCAAGATTATTTTCTTTAGATCAACACTGCACTGCATTATATATTGTCAATATGTAAAATATATTTCAAAATGACCAATAATTTGCTTGGAAACACAGAAAAAAGCATTTAGTTGAAGAGAGTCTCAAGCAAGATGTTACCTCCAGTGAAAACAGAGAGAGACTAACGCCTGTTTACTGTGTTAAGAGGCTGGATGCCGTGCATTAAACTAGTCACTTTACCTTCAATTATGTTCAATAATTGTTAAAATGACTAAAAAATTGAATATTAAACTTTTAAAATTATTGAATAGTATAAACTTTTGATATTTACTAAAATAGTAAGGAATTTAAGCCCTAGAACCGATTAATGTATTGGCGGACTGATACTAAAGCTGGTTGCCCGGTCAGTGCAAGCGAAAACATGTTGAGGTCGGTTCGTAAGAAATTCGTTAACCGAATTGAAGATCCTTATGGAAGGCAGTTCGTTAACCGAAATTTCGTTAACCGAGGCGTTCGTTAAACGAGGGGTCACTGTACATATAAGAAGTTATCACTTTTAGCAAATAAAGAGTTTTGGAAAGTATGTGGGCTGTCCAGATAAGTATGCAGAAGAAGGAAATATGTAGAAAGAAGGGGAGAAAAAAAAAGTGCATAAATGTGATAAGGAAACTAACAAGATTGAGAAGAATAAGAAAACAAAATGGTGAAAACATGAGTGTGCAGTTTGGTATTGTATTACTGGTGGTCCAGCACCTCCTTTAGTCCGGACAAAATTACGAGAGGGCACTTAACTTCCTTCCCTCCCTCCCAGCCAGGGTGAAGGTAGTTTTAGGCTTAAAGTTTTTATCTTATAAAATGTCGCTGACTAGACTAAGCAGAATATTACTTTCACTGCTGGAATCCTTATAGGATAGTGATTAATTTGAGTATAAACATCACATACGTAGTTTGCACAAGAGATAAAAGTTTAGTCTAGTGTAATACATTTGAGTACAAGTTTTCTAAAGCATATTTTCGGGAAGATTTATGTAACTTTCTTCAATTATTTTTACTCCTTTACGTGCACACACCATCCTAAATATATACAGCTGCTCCCCGACTTACGATGGGGTTAGGGACCGACATCCAGGTCGTAAGTCGAAATGGTCGTAAGCCGGAAATGCTTAAATAACACATAGAAAATCTAAAATGGGTGTCTCTTTTTCTTTTCAGCACCACAAAACACTCACTTTAAAGCTTGCCAGCTATTTTAAAGTGAATTACAGATGAAAATTTTGTATGTGTACTGACTTTGGGACTCGAAAATACGTAATTTGACCAAATTTTGGTACAACTGAGGCAGGTCATAAGTGCGGGTGGACGTAAGTCGAGTAGGTCGTAAGTCGGGAGTAGCTGTATTGTGAAAAAAGTAAAAGAAGTAATTGTCCTAAGGGAAAACCTGTACTTAAATGTACTAAGTTAATTAGTACTAAAAATTTTATGTCTAGTGCAAACTATCAAACTATGTGATGTTTGTACTTAAATTAATTACTATCTTTCAAGAATTCCAACAATTTAAGTAACATTCTGCTAAGTCAATTCAGTGACATTTTATAAGCGCAAAACTTAACTCTCTCTACAGCTCCTCCCCGACTTACGACCTACTCGACTTACGACCACCCACACTTATGACCTGCCTCAGTTGTACCAAAATTTGGTCAAATTACGTATTTTCGAGTCCCAAAGTCAGTACACAGACAAAATTTTCATCTGTAATTCACTTTAAAATGGCTGGCAAGCTTAAAAGTGAGAGTTTTGTGGTGCTGAGAAGAAAAAGAGACACCCATTTTAGATTTTCTATGTATTATTTAAGCATTTTCGACTTACTACCTGGATTTGGGTCCCTAACCCCGTTGTCAGTCGGGGAGCAGCTGTATTTGATAACTATGCATTTTGTTATCTCCCCTCCCCAACAGCTGTCAACACCTCGCCTCCCCCTCCCCTTTCCTCCCAGCCAGGGTGAAGGCAGTTTTAGGCTTAAAGTTTTTATCTTATAAAATGTAGCTGACTAGACTTAGCAGAATATTACTTGCATTGCTGGAACCCTTGTAATATAGTGATTAATTTGAGTATAAACATCAAATAGTTTGCACAAGAGTTAAAACTTTTAGTCCTTTAGTGTATTACATTTGAGTACAAAGTGTGTACAGTAACATGTTGCTCAAAATTATGGCTTTTTCACATTTAATTTACATTTAATATTTGTTTCATTTAAGTTTCTATCAGTCCATGGTGCTTTAGAGACACAGGAGGTGTACAGTAGAAGTCCAAAAATCCGGACTGCTTGGGGATTGGGTCGGTCCGGATTTTCGGATTTTTCGGATTCTCAGGCAGTACTTTTAAAATTCAAATTTAAGGAGGAATAAAGAAGAGTTGAACAGGTACATTTTGATAGTTTATTCATTAGCAAATATAGCATGCTTCATTTATCAAAACGAGCAGTTTTAAAGAAAAATAAAGTCAACACTTGACGAAAATGTAAACAGACTGTCTAATACCATGACGAGTCTTGAAATTCCTACGCCATCCATCACTTAATGCGCACTCTGATTCAATGTTTATTTGCTCCTTAAAAGACTTTGCTTTGGCAATAAGCAACGGCCCAGAAATTGCCATACTTTCTGATTGTTTTAACAAAAACCATTCGTGCAACACTTTATCAAGATTTTCTCATTTGGGCCGATGTAAACTTTTTCTTTCAGTAATTTTAATGTAAGGCTCAGAAGAAGCTGTGAATTCTACAATTTTATTCTTTGCCTTTTTTATATCATAAATTGTAGACTTTCCAATGTATGTTTCCATTAGAACAGTATTGCTCACACCACGTTCTAGTTTCTTAATTATTTCAAGTTTGTCACTCAATTTCAATGTGTTCTTCTTTCTCTTCACACAATGAAGTTTATCTACTTTAGGAGCCATTATTATGGGCTTGTACTCTGTACATGGAAAGAGTAGGACTCAAAATTACATACGTTGTCACAGTTTGATTGCTTGTTTTAAAGTGGCAATCGCGTGGTCGCTTGTTGTCGCAGTGTAGCTGTGGTGTTCACGCATGCACACATACACACAAAAGATTTATAGTGCCTCAAATTTTACATTTCAGGACAAGCTAATTACAAAACCAACAAAATCAGCTACCTA